GGCCCTTGCGAGGGGGAGGGGGAAGAGCGGCAGGCTGCACACAGCTCTGTAGAGCAGGCAGAGAGAGGTAGGGACGGGCCTGGGGGAAGGGGGTGGAACAGGGCATATCCCTCCCAGCCCCCTGCCATGAGCTGCTCAGGGCAGGGGGCTGGGAGCACCCCCACGAGCCGAGCACCCTAGCCTTCTGCCCTGCACCCCCCCACACCCCAGCCCTCTGCCCTGACCTCCCCCCAACACCCACCCAGCCTTCTTCCCTGCACCCCCCCCACACCCAGCCTTCTGCCCTGCACCCCCCACACCCGCCAGCCCTCTGCCCTGACCTCGAGTCGCCCCCAACACCCAGCCCTCTGCCCTGCACCTCCACACCCCCCCAGCCCTCTGCCCTGACCTTGAGTCCCCCCCAACACCCAGCCTTCTGCCCTGCACCTCCACACACACCCCAGCCCTCTGCCCTGACCTTGAGTTGCCCTACTCAGCCCACTGCAGGCCTAGGTGAACAGAACCCCAGGCTGGCAGTGGGCTGAGCAAGCTGGCGGCGTAAGATCAGCATTTTAATTTAATTTTAAATGAAGCTTCTTAAACATTTTGAAAACCTTGTTTACTTTACATACAACAATAGTTTAGTTATATAATATAGACTTAGAGAGAGAGACCTTCTAAAAAACGTTAACATGTATTACTGGCACGCGAAACCTTAAATTAAAGAGAATAAATGAAGACTCGGCACACCGCTTCTGAAAAGTTGCCTACCCCTGGTCTAAAGCAACCTCAGTTAAGTATAGTCCATACTGTGATGCTGGCAGACAAGGCTTTAGGCCTCAGCTGAGCACTGAAAAATTCATCCTTGGAAACCAGTGCAACTCACGTGTGTGTTAGTATGGTTAAGATGGGTATTGGATATATAACGATGGGTTTAGACTTTACAAAATGCTTGGAAGTTGCTACATGTATTAATCCTACTTATAATGTCTGTATTCCATGCTATAGGGTAATACTTAAGTTTTTGCTATAGAGCTGTGAAATGTTTGTTCTGAACTATCTAACTCACCAAATAAGAAACTTTACCTAGGGCTAAATCCCTATGAAAGGTATTACCTCTTGCCCATCAAGAAGGGCTATCAAAACTAAATGGGCCATTGTGGAACATCAAAATACAAAGACTTTGCTAAATCACCCTTGCACAGGCTACGTGCAAAAGAACTCATCCCATCAGCCTGAATTCTGGAAGAAGGAAATAAAGATAGCTGATGTGAACATTTTTCATCTCTTTGCTGTTTGGACTCTCACAGGGCTGGAGCTAGGACACAGAAGCAGAGATCTCCAGAGTCAACCTGGGTTAGCCCCAAAAGACATTCATGCTGACAGATTGCTACAACTCTGTCATTTTTTAAAACCCTAGACAGTAACGCATTTCTGTATGTGTTTGCCAGCTTTAACCTGTAAATAACTCTCTCATTTATTTTTTCTAGTTAAGAATTCCTTGGTTAGTTTACTATAAGATTGGCTACAGATATTGTCTTTGGTGTGAGATCTGAGGTACAAATTGACCTGGGGTAAGTGACTGGTCTCTTGGGACTGGAAGTAACCTGAATTTTATGTGATCTTTGGTGTATGGCAACCAACTATCATAAATCCTATCTTGACACCCAGACAAGCTGCCTGGAATGCCCAAGGGGACTGTCAGTGACTCTATTGTAAGACTTTATAGTGCGTCAGAAGTTCACACGTGTTACTGGGTTGATAAACTCTAATGATAGAACATATAATCTGTTTGGGGTGTCTGCCCTGCTTTTTGACAGTCTGCTCTGAGGTTGGCATTTTCAGTTGTGAAACACTCCAGCCAATGTGACAAGTACATCTGGTAATAACTAAGCTGATCAACCCCTTAGAGCCACTCAATTCTATAAGGCCATCTCCCTCACTCTCAGGACTTCAGAGACTGTTTTTGCTACATCAGAGAAAGGAGAAATACGTGGAGAAGTTTCGCTATTCTGGCAGAAATATCAGTGCAGTCACTCTGTGGAACTCTGTACCTTTAGTGACAGGAATAAATGGCAAAAAGAAAGAACAGCAGCCAGGGACAAACACACACACAGTGTCACAGCCAAAACACACACTAACACACTATATATATATAAATATAGCCAGATTACCACATCACCTGCTTCCATAGGGTCAAGGGTGCCTTTGTGTGTCCTTCTTAGCCAAGTAAAGCAGATTTGACAACCCCTTGCCCAATCACACATGGGCAGGTAAGCTCCCATAAGTAAAATGAAATAATTATAAACAACAGACAACAATGCTGTTACTTCTAGAATTTATAAAACACTCTACAAACATTAGTTAATTAGGATTTTTTTCCTGCTCCCATCTACAACTAACATCAAGTAGAGTGTGATCCCTCTTAGGTGCTCAGCATTCTCTTCTACCCTGGAACGAGCAAAGTACTTAAGAATGTGCCTAACTTTAAGCATGTATGTAGACTATTAAAGTCCAATGGAACTATTCATATGCTAATAAAAGTTAAGCATGTGCTTTAAGTGCTTTGCAGGATCAGGATAAGAATGCATAGCACCTTGCAGAATCAAGCCCTTAACATGCAGTTTGACTATGGTAGGGCCTGAATATCACTAGGCGAAGTGCTAACTACTATGCAAGTCAATAGAACTATTCACGGCGAGAGGAACTACACCTGGGGTAGAATCTTCCGCCCATTGAAGGCAATGGGAGTGCTGCCATTGACTGCAATAGGCCCAGGATTTCACCCCTGCTATTTGTGGGATCAGGCCCCTGGTTTGTTCCATTTACTAAAGCAGAAGAATTATGAGAGCCCCTCTGACTCCCTGAGCACAGATGTGCTGTGAATATCTACATATCACCAAGCTCCTTGGTTGCAACTGGAGGGAGGGATAGCTGAGTGGTTTGAGCATTGGCCTGCTAAACCCAGGGTTGTGAGTTCAATCCTTGAGGGGGCCATTTAGGAAACTAGGGTAAAAATCTGTCTGGGGATTAGTCCTGCTTTGAGCAGGGGGTTAGACTAGATGACCTCCTGAGGTCCCTTCCAACCCTGGTATTCTATGAACTGCATATTCTTTCTATTCAAACAGAGTCAAAAAGCCCCAATCCCTCCCTTGGCAGCAGGTGGGAAATTGGTACCTGTGTCATCTTCAGCTTGGTTTCCCAGGTGTTCATCCTGTCTTCAAAGGGTTTCTTGTACGGTGAGAAGGACATGCTTTGAGTCATGACAATATGATCATCTAGGAGCTGCGAAGCTTCATCAGGGCTCTTCAGAATGAAGGTTTCTGTCTCTTTATAGGGCATTACATTAAACAGGATGGAGACCCATTCGCTCTCCATCTTATCAAGTGCCTGGGAAATGAGGAGAAGCAATTTAACCTTAGGTCTCAATACATGGACATGGCATAATGCTTTCCTCCACTTACACTCAAATACCATCATTTGAAAACTAGGTGAATGTTAGTTCCTGTGAAAGGTGCTGGTTTCCACACTGGAAACTATAGCCATCTATTTAATCACAGAACATTCAGCAACAGCACAAATTTCCTCTGCCCCATCCAAAGAGCCTCAACTCTATCCTGAAGGACCACCTTCAAGGAAGAGAAAGTAACTTCATTTCCATGCCCACTGATGCCATGGCACCTCCACTGAGTCTGGTAGTAGAGCGCCGTTAGAGACAGTGGTAATGGTGGCTTTTGCAGTATGGATATCTGCCCACTGGGAAGTGGACTGAGCTCACAAACCCATTTCACAAAACAAAAAGCTGCCAGATGATAGTGACTTTCAGTCCTGACCATCTTAGGCCCTATTTGAACTTGTGACGTGAAGGTGAAAGACTATATCTATATAACCAACGACTCCACTGAGCCATCCAGTCCTCTCCCCTGTTTCCATACACACACTGTATGATGGCTGATTCACCATACCAATGTCTAATCTCCCTGACACAGATACAGAGGATTTGTCCAGCCATGCGAGGACACCAACATTCTAAACTGCATTCTGCTTTTCTCTGGGATTTCTGTAACACTCAGAGTGAATTTTAATGCTCATGAAAGCATGGAGTTGTCATAAGGAAAGCTTCCATCTAGAGACAACTTTGGGTCATGAACTATGATACTGAAAGGAAACCCTCATTAGATGCTCTCCTCACATTCTCAATGGAGAACTCCTTGCCCGCTATCTCAGCTATTTTGGCAATGCTGTCAATGTGGTCCAGCAGCTTCATCTCCAGACAGCGAGAAAATGTCAGATTGGCCTTGGGCTTAACATTGATGTTGATCTCCTTGGAAAGCATCTCCCAGTGCCGGTTCCGCATGCCAGGATTGCGCAGGCCCTGAATCAGGGGGATATATGGTCTGAATTCTTCAATCCTGCCCCGGATTTCCACCGCTACATCCTGGCATGCTTAAAGGAGCAGGAAAAAAACAAACCAAAAAAGATAACATCAGCAACAATGAGATGATGGGTGGAGGATGCTGCTTCATACAGAGCTGGATTCTGCACAGTGCAGGTGAGCGGTGCTATGCTTTCCAACACAATGCAAAAAGTGAACGGTAGGACAGGGAGCATTGGGGAACCCAAGCTTGCATTAATGAGGATGCTGCCTCATAGCAGGAATAAGACCAAAAAGGGAGGAGCATAGTCAAGTGCCATATCTGCATATTGGAAACAACACGTAAGCCCACGTCTCCTCAGACACACCTATTCACTGCCCACAGCCTGCACTTTTCTAGCACCTTTAGAGTAAGGCAGTGAGCATGCCAGGGCCATGAAATTTAGTATTACTTCCACCTAGTATGTCAATTACATCTAGGAATTAACTTTAATTGCAGCCAAGTGTGGCCTCTGGTTGCACTTGCACTGGAAGTGCAACAACCTTGCACTCCCTGCTATGTGTCACACAAGGACTGGCAGACTCATGGCCTTAGTGGATATTGAACTACATCCTGGAGGAGCAGTGGAATGAAAAGATCAAAAGCAGGTATTCTTATTGCTTCTACTTATCATGAGTCACATCCACTCACAACCTCCTCCACTGAGGATGATTCACTGCATTGTTCAGGAGAGAGCTCAAGTTAAAAAGGATAAATCAAAATCTCCCACTGCAGAATATATTTCACTCTAACCCAACTGGAAGATGGTTTTAGAACTACTTCAGAAGACTGGTGGATGCATCTTTGGGAATCCTGGACTGGGACATGGGGAAGTTTACCTACAAATTTAAATCTCTTTTCATTTTTTGAGGGGTGGGGGCATTTACTTGAAATAGTTTTACGCAGATCTGCAGAGCTGCATGTGACCACCCAAGCTCACTTCACACAGAACACATATGGGATAACCTGCTGAATCACAGGAGTGAGGTCTTCATGACACTCCTCATAGCCTTGTGTGCTGGGGTGCACAAACCAAACTCTCCCAGTTACCTGGTACATCCTTGAACTGCTTCACACACTTGTGCATGGTCTTAAAGGATTCATTGACATTCTTCTCTAGCTGTTCAGCATCAATTGCAGAGAGGGGGTCGTTCATCCAGCTCTCAGACCAGCGTATCCAGTCTGATGCTGTGGTCCAGAGATCCCAGTATGGCTGGAATTCCTTAACCATCCTGGACAGCTTATCATACTTTGTGAAGAAAAAAAAGTATTAATGAACAATGGGCATATTTTCCTCTAACAGTGACTCATATTTTACAGAACCATGTGGCCCTAGCAAAAAGGCACAATCCTACCTGGAGCTCCTGAGTAAGCAAGGGGAATGCACATGGTCCAATATCCTTTAAGATGATTTATTAGGCTCCCCTCTGCACTGCTAGCCAGAGCAGACAGGCACAGGGTCATAGCGTCACTTCCAGCTTGCTCCCTCTCAGGGGACCTGCAACCCTGGGGATGCTTGGAGGGGGAAGACCCTGTGCTCTCCCAAGGCACAACCTAGCCTTACCAATCAGTCATGAAACAATACAAAATTGTGGATAGAGACAGGACATACACAGAAAAACAAAGGCCCTCTAGGCCAAATTCAACCTTACATTCATGGGCACAGTTCCATTTAACTCTAATCCAAGTTAAAACCATGACTTAATTTATTCCTATGACATTTAGTGCCAACTTCTCAAAGGAGGGCGCATCAAGCATGCTGGCCAAAATGCATACATTCGAGTTGCACCTGCAGAAGCCCATATCCGTGCATGCAAACACTTAATCTGATGTGCAGTTAGCTGATTTTCATTTGCAAATGCTCTATCGCATCAGTAATATGAGATTTTTTGTGGATGCAATGGACCCATACACATTTTGAGGACGTACCTGTTAAGGACCCTAGTTGCAACTGTGGATGTAACAGTAAAGAAAAAAAATCACACTAAGCTATTGAAAGTTAAGATACAGAAAATTATTAGAGAAAATAATTCTACTCAATAGCCATAAAGGAAAGAGACAGAAAATGTGCATGGGCATTTATGAGTAGCTAGAGCCACTAGTGTTTGTGACTAAAATTATTTCCTCAAGACAACACTCTGCCTTCCAAATTCACAAAATCACTTTCCTGTATGTGACTATAAAACACTAGTGACATAAGTAATTACAGCCACTCATGCCCATATTCTGTGCAGTAACTCTCCAACAGTAATGAATGTAACTAATTGCTACTTCATGAGCTTTCCCATCTTTATGATCCAGGAGCCAAGCCTCCCATACACCTAGCTACCACTACCCCATGAACTCTTGATCCAGGAGCATGGATAGGTAGAGCTCTGCCACAGAAGTGGCAATTAAATACCCTATGAACTTGCTCACCCTTCTATGTCTTCTTGGACCAGCTCTTCCACAGCATAGAAGAGATGAGCAGAGAGCATTGGAATGGAGTGACCATCAGAATGGATTGCTGGTCCTCTCTAGTTAACATAAGAACTGATGGATAAGCCAAAATGATAGAGAAGGAAAGAAATTATTTAAGCTCACAATTGGGATGTTATTACCTAGGGGATTTATTTTTTTTTGCATTGGAGTAGCACCCAAAGGCCCCAGTCAGGACCAAGGGTCTGTTGTTTGCAGAGGCTAACACAACAGAACCCATGATCTGACACTTACATTAGTAACTGGCAATCCAAATATCCGCTCCCTGTTGTTGTAAAGCAGCGCCATCTGCTGAGACTCCTTCAACTGCTTCTTGACCCTTCTCGCTTCATTTGCTATCTCATGTGCTCGTGTAATGTCCATATGGACAGAAAATCCAGCCACGACCAGCTGGAAAAGAAAAGGCAGTATGTGGAACTCAGGCTGAAAACGCTGAATGCTGCTTTCTAGAATCTCAGCTTCACTGCTCACTCTTTGTTGCTCTCCAGCATGCAGAGAATCGGACAGCTCTCACTAAAGCCCTTTTTAAATTTCACATTCTCTCTCCCCTATTCTAATTCCAACTCTCTTCAGGCCACGGAGAGGGTGGTGAGGAGGCAATGATAAGCCCTGATCAAGATCAGCTGACAGAAAGAACAAATGTGGGTGCTGGCTGCCTCTTCCTCTTGCAATTGATTGCCACCCACTCATCAGTCCATGCCCAAATTTATCTATTCTGAGCTGTACCGCTAGCAACGTGGAACCACAGAAATTAAAATGAAAGATCTACTAGGTCATTTTTTCCATCCCAAAAAATTGTTTCCTATATTATATTCTCCAGGGTCTTGTCCAATCTTTTTTGTTTTTTAATAAACTAAAGTGTCAGGGGCTTCTATCAATTTCTTTTGTAGACTATTCCACAGCCAACCAGTCTTCACTTTTAGGAAATTCTTTGCTTAATTTCAACCCATTACCCCTAGTGATACCCATTGGAGAGAGTCTTTGAAATCAGTTGGCACATTGATTAGAGCTGGTCCAAAATGGGGAGTTTTTCCTATGGATAATTTCAAGTTTTTGGTGAAAAATCAAATCTGAAATATTTGATTTTGAAACACTGCCACTGCATCTCTTGGGAGTTGCTGTTCAGGTGCCTCAGTCTCATTCTCCTATCTAGTCTGGACATGGAACCCAGCCTACAGCTCCTATGGTGCATCATGGTCTTCCCTGTTGGTGAGGAGAGGTGGTGCATCATGGGAGATGAAGTCTAGCTGGGGAGCTCAGCCCATAGCAGCTCCTCGAGGCACCGCGGCAGCATTTCAGAACAAAAATATTTCTGTTTTCGAGCATTCAGTTTCTCCATGAAAAATAGAAGTTTTCCATGGAATTCAAATAATTTCTCATCCAAAAGCAGTTTTTAGAAAAAAAAATTTAACTGGCCCTACCGTTGATCGTAGAATTGCAAATGCTCCTGAATATACCCCAGCTAGCCGACAGCAATGATTTCAAGTCTTTGGCCTGGTCTACACTACGAGTTTAGGTTGACTTTAGCCCCGTTAAATCGAATTAAGCCTGGACACGTTCACACGACGAAGCCCTTTCTTTCGACTTAAAGGGCCCTTTAAACCGGTTTCTTTACTCCACCTCCGACAAGGGGATTAGCGATAAAATCGGCCTCAGGGGGTCGGAATTGGGGTAGTGTGGACGGAATTCGACGTTATTGGCCTCCGGGAGCTATCCCACAGTGCTTCATTGTGACCGCTCTGGACAGCACTCTCAACTCAGATGCACTGGCCAGGTAGACAGGAAAAGCCCCGCGAATGTTTGAATTTCATTTCCTGTTTGCTCAGCGTGGAGAGCACAGGTGACCACGCAGAGCTCATCAGCACAGGTAACCATGATGGAGTCCCAGGATCGCAAAAGAGCTCCAGCATGGACAGAACAGGAGGTACGGGATCTGCTCGCCATATGGGGAGACGAATCACTGCTGGCTGAACTCCGAAGCAATAAACGAAATGGCAAAATATTAGAAAAGGTCTCCAAGGCCATGAAGGACAGAGGCCATAACAGGGACGCACAGCAGTGCCGCGTGAAAATTAAGGAGCTAAGGCAAACCTACCACAAAGCCAGAGAAGCAAACGGAAGGTCCGGGGCAGAGCTGCAAACATGCCGCTTCTACGCGGAGCTGCATGCCATTCTAGGGGGTGCAGCCACCACTATCCCAACCGTGTGCTATGACTCCCTCACTGGAGAAACACACAGGAAAGCGGGTTCGGGGTACGAGGAAGATGAGGATGGAGAAAATGTAGATAGCTCACAGCCGCAAGGAAGCGGAGAAACCGGTTTCCCCAACAGCCAGGATATGTTTATCACCCTGGACCTGGAACCAGTAACCCCCGAACTCACCCAAGGCGTGCTCCCAGACCCTGAGGGCACACAGGGGACCTCTGGTGAGTGTACCTTTGTAAATATTACACATGGTTTAAAAGCAAGCGTGTTTAATGATTAATGATTAATTTGCCCTGGCAATCGCGGCCAGTACAGCTACTGGAAAAGTCTGTTAACGTGTATGGGGATGGAGCGGAAATCCTCCAGGGTCATCTCCAGAAAACTCTCATGGATGTACTCCCAAAGCCTTTGCAAAAGGTTTCTGGGGAGGGCTGCCTTATCCCGTCCGCCATGGTAGGACACTTTACCACGCCAGGCCAGTAGCACGTAGTCTGGAATCATTGCATAACAAAGCATGGCAGCGTATGGTCCCGGTGTTTGCTGGCATGCAGACAACATCCATTCCTTATC